TTATTATTTCTATTTTATGTGTATGAGTGTATTGCCTGCATGTGTGTAAGTCCATTTCTGTTGTGCAGTGCCTGCAGAGGTCAGAAGAAGAACTGGAATTACAGATGGTTGTTAGCTGCCAAGTGGGTGCCGAGACTCCAACTGGGTCCTCTGCAAGAGCAGTCAGTGCTGTTAACCACTGAGCCATCTCTCCAGCCCTTTATTATTCTTTTTAAAGATTTTATTTTATTTATTTATTTTTTTTGGTCTTTTTGAGACAGGGTCTCCCTGTAGCCCCAGCTGTCCTGGAACTCACTATGTAGACCAGGCTGGCCTTGAACTCACAGAGATCCGCCTGCCTCTGCCTCCCAAGTGCTGGGATTAAAGGAGTGTGCCACCACACCCGGCTTATTTTTTATTTTATGTGTATGAATGCTTTTCATGTATGTATGTAAGTGCACCACCTGCATGCCTGGTGCCCGTGAAGGCCAGAAGAGGGCATTGGATCCCCTACAATTGGAGTTAAGGACAAATCTTAGCCACCAAGTGGGAGCTGGGAACTGAACCTGGGTCCTCTGGAAGAACAGTTGGTACTCAACCATGGAGCTGTCTCTCCCGTCCCACCCAACATTTCTGATTTTAAAAATCTTTTATTTCCCTGCTCATTGCTGTCTTCCTTTGTATGGTTTTTTGGAAGACATCTTCAAGTTGATTTTCCAAGATTTTTGTTGAGATTTTGTTTTTACACTACACTTTTTATTTATAAGGGCTCTGTTCTAGATTCTGAAGGTTTCTTTTCATATGGTTCCAATGTGTATTTCAGACTCTTTCCAACCTAGTTACAGATTTCCTGTGTCTCTGTTTTCTTCTGGTTCCCCAGGTTCCAATTTGGGTGGTCTCTGTTAGTATGTGTGAGGCTGGCCTACAACCCTTGAGGCAGGACAGCTGGGGCTCTGCTGACAGAGACACATCCTCAATTTTGCTGTGGGGGTCTCACCATAAACTCCACTTCAGCATGGAGCCTGCTAGAGTTTGGATGTGGGGTCTGTGTGCTGGAATCGTGGACTCTCAGTGTGGCTGTGCTGAGGTGTGGAACTTTCGGAGGTACACCGGCTGAGAGGCACTGGTGCTAAGTTATTCATAAGTTGAGGCTACCCCATGCACTTGGCCCTTTCTGCACATGGTCTTTCTGCTTTTCTGTTTCATGGTGTAGTCATGGAAACACTCAATAGAAGTCAAATGGTGGGGCTGGTAGAGCTTACACTTTCAGACTCCAAAATGGAGCCAAATAAACCTTTTTTAAAGTTTCTAGCTTTGGCCTGTCCTCAGCTTCTACCCCTCATAAGGCCTCCTGGAGATCCTGTTTTCAGCTTGGTTGTTCTGGAGAACTGGCCTCTTGCCCCTGAGCCCTTCAGGCTCTGCAGGTACCTTGACTTTTTCTTACATTTGTAGTTTCTGAACTCACTGCCTGACCTGCTTCTGAGTCTTCAGCCCCCCAACAGCTGTCACTGTCATTTATGATCTTCTCAGAATTTTTTCTTCATTTTCAAGCAGAGAGGCAATAGATTCTTGTTTTAAATCAGCATTTTAAAACTGTAAGTCCTTGGGACTGGAGAGATGGTTCAGCAGTTAGGAGCACTGACTGCTCTTGCAGAGGACCTAGGTTCAAGTCTCAGCACTCACATGGCGGCTATGAACCATCCTTAACTCCAGTTCCAGGGGAATCCGAAGCCCTCTTCTGACCTCCGCAGCATTGCATGACATGGGTGCACTCACATACATGCAGGCAATACACTCATACACACAAAATAAAAATAATAAAATATTAAAAAAGCAAACAAACGAAAAACCCTGTAAGTCCTCTTTTTAAAATAAAGTATCTGCTGAGGCATAACTGACTTCTAGTAAGGTACACAAATAGGTATCTATGTAGCTGTGAACTCACCATCAAGATCTCAATATAGAATATTCCAACACCCCAAAGCCTCCCCAATCCACCATTGGATCTATTTTCTTCAACACAGTGCATGTCTGGGACATCCATCCCCATGACTGTGAGTAACCGTGCTTGGTCTTTATGACTGTGAGTAACCGTGCGTGGTGTTTTACTGCTCTACTCTAAATGCAATAGCACCTCTATTCTACTGCTGAGGACATGTGGGATCCTTTGTCTCTAGAGTTAACTTTGTCAATCTTGACTGGGTGTGGTGGCACACACCTTTAATCCTAGCGCTCAGGAGGCAGAGTTCCAGATCAGTCAATCAAGTATATTCCATGAGAGTCTCTACCACAAAGATAAAGAAATAGAATTGGCTTTTATAAATTTACGAGTGATTTTGCTAGATCTACTTTTTTTTTAAAATTTAAATTCCACATGTTCTCACTTTATTTTAATATTTTATTTATTATTTTTATTTTATGTGTATGAATGTATTGCCTGCATGTATGTGAGTGCACCTGTGTCATGAAATGCCTTGGAGGTCAGAAGAGGGCCAGATTCCCTCGGAACTGGAGTTAAGGACAGTTTGTAGCCACCATATGGGTGCTGGGAATCGAACCCGGGTCCTCTGCAAGAGCAGTCAGTGCTCTTAACCGCTGAGCCATCTCTCCAGCCCCAAGATCTACTTTTTAAAATATTTTATTTATTATTTTTATTTTATGTGTATACGTGTATTGCTTGCATGTACGTAAGTGCACCCCTGTTGTGCAATGGCCTCGGAGGACAGTAGAGGATGTTGGATCCCCTGGAACTAGAGCTATGGACAGTTGTTAGCTGCCACATGGGTGCTGGGATTTGAACCTGGATCTTCTGCAAGAACAGCCAGTGTTCTTAACTACTGAGCCATCTCTCTAGCCCCTATATTTTTTGGGGGGGGTCTTTTTTGAGACAGGGTCTCCCAGTAGCCCCAGCTGGCCTGGAACTCATTATGTAGATCAGGCTAGCTTTGAACTCACAGAGATTCGCCTGCCTCTGCCTCCTGAGTGCTGGGATTAAAGGCATGTGCCACCACGCCCGGCTAGCCCCAACTTTTTAATTCTAATAGTTTATCCATAATTTTCTTTCCTACAAATAAAATCATATCTTCTGAAAAAAGGGAGTCTTTCTTTCTTTCTTTCTTTCTTTCTTCTTCCTTCCTTCCTTCCTTCCTTCCTTCCTTCCTTCCTTCCTTCCTTCCTTCTTTCTTTCTTTATTTGAGACAGGGTCTCACTATATAGCCCCAGCTGATCTGGAACTCATTATGTAGACCAGACTGGCTTCAAACTCCATCTGTGTCCTGAGTGCTGGGACTAAAGAAGTGTACCACCATGCCTGGCATGAGCTGTTTCTTTGCACCCAATCTTAACATTTTATATTTACCTCCTTGCCTCCCTGTACCAGAATGGGTTCCCAGTCCATTCCTGGGTGCAAGCAGTAGTAATGGCCATCTTTTTTTTTTTTTTTTTTTTTACCATCACAGATGCTTCTAAAAAAAATAGGACCAAACTTGCCCTTTGGCCAGAAACAACAGGGAAGCCAGATACATTATGAGTAGAGACAGTTTTCAGACATGGGAAAATATGAAGCTCATAACAGTTTCTAACCATGGTGGGACAGGACTCCAGCACCTGCCTCTTCCTCTACCTTGAAGAGCTGCCTGCTGCAGTGCAGGGAAGGGGCCCAGAGCTCCTTGGGCATTCTGCAGGATGGAATACCAGGGATGACAGGTCTGCAGAGGGTTCCCTCAAGAATTCACTTGAGTATCAACCAGCACACTCATGTGAGGAAACTGTCCAAAGCCAGGAAAGAACCACACAAAAAGATCAAAGGGAGAAATCAATCTTCCAAATAATGGGGATACTGTGTCCTCAGGGCCAGTATTTAGAAAATTTTCATAATTTTCAGGGCATCAATTGCAAAACCAAGAAGGCTCTTGCCTCAGAAATGAGGATAGTTGATCTTAGATTCAATAATCTATGAGCTCTTCTCATAGTAAATAAAGCTTAAAGGATAGATCAGAAAGAACCAAACTACTTCAAGCTACTTAAATACACACAGGAACAAAGCTCAAGAAATTTTCTAGAGAAATAAATAATCAAAGCAAAAGAATGTCGTTGGTCTCAGCACTCTGGAGGCAGAGGCAGGTGGGTCTCTGTGAGTTCCAGGCCAGATTGGTCTACACAGTCAGATCCTGTCTCCTAAAAACAAACAAATAAACAAACAAACAAACAAACCACCCAAACCAGAGCAAAGACTTCCACAGCAAACTGTCTACATTAGTGCAGTAGTGGCACTTTTATCTTCGGGGTGATCAACAGCTATCTAATTGGACTTAAAGCCCACTCAATGAGAGCAAATTCAGGTGTGGTACTGTATAGCCAAATACACATGGTTGCAGAGGTCACAGAGTCTAGAGAAAACCCTATATCTGTCACATTCCTAGATATAATTTCTTAACATATGTTAAACATGAATCTTTATATTTATAGACAAGTATACCTGTCATCACTCATCAAAGAAGTTTCTTTTACAACAGATGGAGACTATTACAGCAGTCCACAACTGGTCAAACACAAAGAATAAGTGTGTGTGAGATGCCCAGCTCCAAGTGACACATCTACAGTGGAACCTCTACACCTAAGGTTCATGGAACATGGTGGACCAGGGTAAAGAGACTACTAATGAGTCTCTCAACTCTCACCAGCGAAGCTTGCTTATTTATATTTATTTATTTATTTATTTTGGTCTTTTTTGAGACAGGGTCTCCCTGTAGCCCCAGCTGTCCTGGAACTCACTATGTAGGCCAGGCTGGCCTTGAACTCACAGAGATCCGCCTGCCTCTGCCTCCCAAGTGCTGGATTAAAGGAGTGTGCCACCATACCCGGCCATTTTTAATGTTTTTTAAAGTTGGACAAAAGATTTGAACAGTCACCTTGCCAAAGAAGATGAACAGGTAGAAATAAGTATTAGGGAATTACAAATTAAGACAAGACACTACTGCACACCCATTAAAATGGCAGAAATCCCAAGTATTAATAACATCAGGAGCTCTAACTTATTTCAAAAGAGATTGTGTAGGATTGGTATGACTTTATCCCTAATCCCATTTCTTTACACAGTACTCTCCAGGTTACCTAGTTTCTTTTAAAGAAGCTTTGCTTGTTCATCTTCCATCTCCATTTTGGAATCCCTGGATTTCACATTATAGGACAGACTTGACTCCTGAAATTTGTCCTCTGACCTCTGCATGTGGACTATGGTATGTGCACGTGCACACTCAAACACACATCAAATAAATAAACGTTGAAAAAAATTTTAAGAGCTGGGGAGATGACTCAGTGGATAAAGCACTTGCCAGGAAAACCTGACAATCTGAGTTCTATCCCCAGAACTTGCATATAGGTGGTAGGAGAGAATCAGCTCCACAGAGTTGTCTCTGACCTCCATGTGTATGCCATGAAACATGCATTCACACACACACACACACACACACACACACACACACAGACACCAACAATAAAAATAGTAAATAAAATTGAATTTTTTACTGTATTCTTTACGTGTATAAATGCTTTGCTTGCATGCATGTAACTGTACCACATGCTTTGCAATGCCCATGTGTGTGTGTGAATGCATGTTTCATAATCTCTTTAATGTGTTAGTTGACTTGATGGCTTATGCTTTGTTCAGTACAAAAATATAACTGTCAAGTACATTTTTCATGAACTATATTGGTCTTTAATTTTTCTTTAACATATTATTTGAGTTTTAGGGCTCAGTTTAAGCTGGCTGAATGAAGAAAATTGGGATGTGTTCTTTCTATATTCTGTAATACATAAAATTGGTATGATTTTTTTGCCCACTAAATGTTTGAAAGAATTCATCAGTGAAGCCACCTATGCCTGAGGTCTAGAACTTTGTCACAGACAAAAGTTTAAAATGTGTACTCAGTTTATGTAACAGACAGGACTACTCAACATTCCTCTTTTTTCCTAGCACTGGTTTTGTTAAATTGTGTTGTAGGGATTTGGTCTCATCTAAACTGTCAAGTACATTCTCACTAAGTTGCAAAGGACAACTACATCACTATTTCAGCATCTTTTGTGGGTCCCCTTGCCAATCCTGCACTGGTAGTTTGACTGTTGTCTTTTTTTTGGGGGGAGGGGTCTTTTTGAGACAGGATCTCTCTGTATCCCCAGCTGGCCTGGAACTCAATATGTGGACCAGACTGGACTTGAACTCACAGTGATCCACCTGCCTCCGCCTCCCGAGTGCTGGGATTAAAGGCATTCTTTCTTTCTTAGCAATCTGGACCTGAACCAATTACTTCCTTGGGTATTGCAGAAAGTGACTACTGTCTTGTCCCCTTTTCATGCTTTAGCTGGGCACTCCGTAAAGAGCGTTCTTCCTCTGAGTACCACCATGGGTTTAAAAACTCAAAGCACTGTTACTTTGATGCTCAGTCTTCTCCAGAATCCTTGTTTCCCTTACTGGTAACCAGTATTTAGAAACCAAGATCTGGTTGCTAGGCACACCCAGTCACTGGATATCCTCGCAATAAGGCTTTCAGAGCACAAAGCTAGGAAAAAATGTTGTCATTATTTTAGACAAATATCTGAAATTAAGTCTATCCCCACAGGCTCTTCTTACACTCCAGCTTCACAGATATACAGCCCTTCTCTCCACATGAGGCTCTGGTTCCAGCTGATGCCCCCATTCCCTCACTAGTTCTGTGTTTTCTGTCAGTTTGTTTAATGCTATAAGTTAGCAGTGGCAGCTGTCTGTCCTCACCTGGCCCAGCATGCTCTGTGTGCCTCAGATCAGGGCAGGGGCGGGGGTCATGGGTCAGGAACAGTGCCTCATTCTCAGGAAGGAGAAACTCAGAAGCGACAGTGACCACATACCAACCCCGGGGAGGAGAGGCAGAGAAAACACATCCAGGGCGGTCTGGCACCAAGGCCAACTTCCTGTCTGTCAAGTGAGATGCTGCACAGGTTTGAGGCAGGTGCCCAGCCACTTGCTGCCTGATCAAGGGCAGGCATGGCACTTCATACCTGCGTGCTACTCACCCCAGGCCTGCAACCAGAATATAGATTCTCCAGATGCGGCAGCCCTTAGGGGACCCTTCAAGCTCCCTCCCCTATACATCCTCACTCAGGCACACAGCCGTACCCACACATTCACACTACACAGACACATACGCACACAGTTACACATTTATTCAGGCATACACACTACACAGACACATGAATACTCATACATGTGCATACACACAAATAAATATTCACACACCCACATTGGCACATAGATAAAGGCATACCCTCACACAGGCACACACTGGCACATGTGCATACACTCAGGTACATATTCACATACACACTCACACCACACAGATACACGTACCTACTCACACATGTGCAGACACTCAGGTACACACTGACATGTATATACATTCAGGTACATAGTCACACAGACAGGTACTCACTTTCACTATACACCTACACAGACACACATACCACACAGAGACACGCATGTACTTACTAACATCAGAACATGTCCATATTAACACACTGGCACACACTCTTGCACTGCACATGTGCTCACTCACATATGCACACATTCATGTACACAATATACTCACACATATAATGACTGAATCCACACAGGCACCCTGTCAGCTTGTTGAATGGTGGACTCCATATACCAGGTACTAGAGAAAACTTTATGAGAGGAGTGAATGAATGGACAGCTTCAGGGCTATCAACAGGCCAGCCCCATTCAGCAGTATTTGTGGGGTTGGGGCTTGCTCTGCCTCACACTCATTCCTCAAAGCAGCTGGCTTGCTATTTGTGGTGGCCCTGATGGAGATGAGGAGCCCAAAGCAAGAGCTTCCAGGGGTCTGCTGCTCCCATCTTGGGCTCCTGGAAGATTACTCTGCATCAGCTGCCAGGACCTTATGGGACTTACCTGGCAACATCCCTGATGTTAAAGCCAGGCTGGCACCAGGAGTCCATAAGGGCCAGCAGCTTCCTCTGGAGCTCTGGGAAGCCAGCCACGTAGCATTCAACAAGGTTCATCTTGCCCTGGAGCAACAGTGGGGTGCTCATCTGTAGGGGAACAGAAACTCAGGCTCACAGCCAGGACCACAGCTCCACCTCCCACCCAGAGCATGAGGAATGAAAAGGCCCGTGTGGCTCCTTACAACCTGTTCCCAAGCAGTGGCCAGAAGTATGTGAGGACCCTGGGCAAGTGTACAAAAGCTGGTCATATGGCCATCCGAGCCCAGACTCAGTGCCTGACCTTAAACATTCACTTGTGCATATGTGGGCCTTGTCCCTATGCTGATGTTTCCAGAGTCTTATCCTTGGCGCTTGCTGTGATTCCTATCATCCCAAGACCAAGGACTGGAGGCTCCAAGAGGTTCAGGTGCCATCAGCTGTGCTCACCAAGCTGGGTAAAAGCAGGACCAAGATAACACATAGTTGCCTTAGCAGTTGCCCTGGTGGTCAAGTTGAGATATCTTCTTGAGGCATGTGGAACATGGAACACACCAAGGGGCTCCTGGGGAAGCCCTGAAAGAGCCTTGGGTTGTGGCCCTGGGACCCACCAACTACTTCCCAGGTATAAGACCCTGCTGGGCATGGTGGCCCACACCTTCAATCCCAGCAGCACTCAGAAGCAGAGGCAGGCTGATCTCTGTGAGTTCAAGGCCAGCCTGGCCTACATAGTGAGTTCCAGGACAGCTGGGGCTACAGGGAGACCCTGTCTCAAAAAGACCAAAAAACAAAAACAAAACAAAACAAAACAAAAAACCCCAAATCAAAATCCAAACAAACAAAAACCATATCTCAACAGATCCCCTTCCACGGGTCCTGCAGAAGAGTCCTGTGTTTGCATCCTCATGCCCACAGATACCCACGCCAGGCTTCTTAGAGCCCAGATGGGACTGAGCAAAGGGCCAATGTTCAGGCTGAGTCCCAGTCTTTGGCCCCAGCTCCTGCAGTGCTCGAGCTGCACCCACAAGGCAAGGCCCTGCTGGATGTACTGTCTTCCTGTAGCAGTAGGACAGGTGGGGCAGGCCCTACAACATCCTCAGTTATAGCCAATCTGTGTGGGTAGACATAATGGCTTCTAAAACTATGTCATCTGCCCTGAGATTCCCAGTGAGACAAGTGATCGTCTCCTCTGACCCATGAAGAATAGGGACATGTAGCAGGCCTCAAGATGGAGGCTACAGAGGTACAGGGACCAAGTGTCCAGTGAAGTGCCTATTCTAGGGCAGGGATGGCTGCAGCTCTGGACCTAACAGCCCTCAGGCCAGCTCACCCTGAATTTCCAGAGCTTCAGGTAATTGGATTAGGGCACCAGCACAACTATGCCTGGTTGGGACTGCCCTACAACAGGAAGACAGCCTAGTGGCCTCTGTACTCTTATACTGAAGCCCCCGATCACTGCACTAGCCAGCACTCCCTGGCCTCTTCTCAGGTCTTGTCCTCCCCATTCTGGGCCTTGGAGGAAGCCTGGCCTGAGAAACCCTCCCTGCCCCCACCAAGCCCTATTTCTGGAGACCTGGGCTTTATCCAAGTCTGAACCTAAATGATTTGCATGAGAAAGACATTTACCTTTTCAATATCCAGCTCAGGCTGCAGCTTCAACTTCATGCCCAACACGATTGCCTGGCAACACACAGGGAGTGATTACACGTGCCTGGGAGTGGGGGCACAGTGCCACAGGGGGTCCCACTCTTTGTTCTGACACTGGTCACCAGAGACATAGCCAAGGACCTTCCTATTTTCGGTAATGGGGCTGCTGGCCTGAGGCACTGGGAATCCATGAGTCTCATGGCAGGAGTCCCCTATAACCAACCTAGCTTTTGGGGGTGAGACAGGTGGCAGGAGAAACTTAACCATCTATCCTGGCCCCCAGAGTTCTGCTTAGGGCTTGCAAGGGTCAAGAAATGGGGACAAGAGGCCCACACTGACCTATGCACAGCTGCCCCATCCTGCCTCAGAGCATCTACCTGGTCCAGAAGGCTAGCATAGCCAGTCCTGGGTGCACATGGTAGAAGAACCGGGGTATACCAGATGCCCTTGAGGCATAGAAAGAGGGACATCAGCTTCCTGGGGGCCTTGGACCCTCTGAACTCTATCCACTACAGATATGGCACTCCACACATGTGCCAAAGCCAGTCACAGTGGGGGAACCAGAGGGGAGAGTCAGATACGAGGCCCTTGGTCAGAGACATTCACAGCCTGAGCAGATTCTGATGGAGAGTGGATGCAGCTGAGAGGCAGCTCCCCAAAACCTGCTGCACCGCTAAGACCTTCCCACCACTGGACAGAGCACATGCTGGCCCTGAGCACCCGCACGTACCACGGCCTGAACTACTATTAATACTTTCCATATATCGTGCTCCCATTATGAGCAAAAATAACCACCAAAAGCTGCAGCAAAGCTACCCAGCACCCCGCCCCCAGAGCTCAGAGAGCCCAAAATAGCGGCCTGGGAAAGGCTTGGCGGCATCCAGCCCAGGGGGTGTGGGCCAGGGCCTTCCCTGCGTGCTCTGACCCGGCGCCTCTACAGCTGGCTCTTGTCCAGGAGGTTTGGTCTCACCAGGCCTCATGGGGCATAGGGCGTGGGAGGGTCTCTGGGCAGGGGGAAGATATACTTGGTATGGAGAGGAATAAAGGACACAAAGAGGGTCTTCAGGACTTGAAGGGGTTTGGAGAGGGATGCAGGGGCCACCAGGTGATACCTCTAGCTTCACACAAGGGTCTTGGTGTCTTTAGGATCAGATTCCCCCCTTAGAAATGGCACAATCCCAAGGAAACGGGTGTATATCTAGCATTCTACATGTCATATTCAAACCATGGCTACTTAGAACCCCCAAGACCCCTACCCTGGGCTTGACCTGGGCTTCATCAGGAACAGGGGGAGCTAAGAACTGGGCTGCTTTCCTTCCATTTTTGGGTTGAAGCTCTCTGTCAGTGACAGGGAGAGAGGAGGCTGGGTGGGATGGTGAGGAGCAATGCATTAGGGGCCTGGGGCTGTCCATTTCTTCTGCACCGGCTAGTGTTCCAGCAATGTTCTGGATGACCCTTCTTCCTCAGCCCTGGGGCTAATGGGGCCCAATCGATAACTGACTGGAGACAGCAGAACCAGGGTGGGCTGTGCTTCCCAGGTGTGCAGCTCAAGTCTCATCTGCTAGGTGGACTAAGACATTGGTTAACCAGTAGCACCCAGGGGGGTTGAGGTGTCAGCTCCTCCTTTCTCTATGGGTCACTAGGAGCAGAGAACAACTGGGCTGTAGCTTTCCATCTGCCTGGCAAGATCTCTCCATGCACCTAGGCTGCCCTCTGGTGGCCAGGTGGCCTGGGTGTGTGCTGCAGGGGTATGGGAGGGTGTTGGGAGGAGGAGGTGTTTTTGCAGGCAGGGCTAGCACAAAGGAAGAGCTTGCCCAGTCCTATTCAGCCACTGCCAGGTGCCCTTGCTGGCCTGGAGGTAGGCAACAGAACCATTTCCTCAAGGAAGCCCCCTAGCTTGACCCTAGTTTGGGCTTCTGAGCTGTCACTGTGATATTAGCCTAGGATAGGTCTCTCACCATTTCTCTCTCTCTCTCTCTCTTTTTTGTGTTTTTGAGACAGTGTCTCCCTGTAGCCCCAGCTGGCCTAGAACTCACTATGTAGACCAGGCTGGCCTCGAACTCACAGAGATCTGTTTGTGTCTGCCTCCTGAGTGCTGGGACTAAAGGCGTGTGCCACCATGTCTGGCAAGTCTCTGGCCTTTTCTGCTGAATCTTCTCTGATGTCATGATAGACCCATACTTGGTCATGTAGAAGACTTGTTAGGCCCAGGAGTGCAGGAAGACCACCTTCCTGCACAGGGAGAAGGCATGGTGGAAACTGGTGAGGGGCCTGGATACTGACTCCACAGGAAGAAAAGCTCAGGATTGGGCTGAGGAGAGATGGGGGCCAATAAAACCCTCTGTGCACCAAGTATACCCCTGCTGCCCAGGAGGAAGACACAGCAGGGCAGTCTAGCTTGCTAGATCAGGGGAGAACTGAGGAAATCTTTGGTCAGATAGGGCCAGGGACAACGGCTTTCAAGAAAACAATCAAGAAAATCCAGAGGGGCCAGGGCGGCAGCCTCTGGAAGAGTGTCCTGTCTCCCTAGGCCCCCCACTCAGAAGGGCAGGAGGGCTGGGCAGGTGCCCAGGCTGGCTGAGGCCCAGATTGCATGGCCTAAGACCCCAATGCCAGCCTAGCCTCCCACCTTTGTATGGGCCTGGAGCCAAAAGTTTTTTTTTTTAAAGTAAAGCTATCTTTTTACCTTGATAAGCTGTTTAAAAAATGTAAATAAAATAACTCAGCAGACAAAAGCGGGCATTCATTCTGCCCAGAGCCAGCCGCTGCCCTCAACATGAAATATCGCAGCACATTGAGTCGTGAGTCCCTGCTAATCCAGGCGGACAGGCCTGAATGGGGCCCCTTTCGATGGTGCGGCGGTGGGCAGCGGAGCATGCACCGCCTGCCGGGCGGCCCCGCTTGGGGACAATGGCTTTTCTTCCCAGAAGGGGCCTGTGAGGGACAAGAGCCCCCTTTGTGTAGGATGCCTGCCTTGGAGCGCAAGAGAGCCACATTCAGCGGCCCCAGACACTCTTTGAAAGGCTCGAGTGTAACAGAAGACTCCCGAAACATTAGCCTGCCTTCTGCCTCCCTGCACTCTCCCCAGGCACAACCACCATTCAGCTTTGAGAATGGCCTTGCACCACATGAGCGGCCAGTCTTCAATCCCACATTGTTCCTGGGCACATAGCCAGGTTCCTCAGTGACCTTTACTACGCTTGAGAAGAAGTGTGGGCAGGTGTGACAGGAGATGAAGCCATGTGGGTTCAGGTGCTGCCAATACATGGGCCTACTTCTCAGGGCCAGGCAAGATCTAGGAGGCCTAGGTGGCTCCTGGTGCCCAACATCTAAACTCCAATAAGAGTAGTGGCTCAGGGAACACTGTCTCTGAAGTGCACTCATCTCTGGGTCTTAGCAGCACTGAGGTGGAGGTGATATCTGGAATGGTAGCCTTGCTCCACACCATAGGTATACCATGGGTTGTACCCCACTTTAGGTACCTCTAGCCACAATCTGGGGTCTGCACATCTTGGGCTGCCAGGGAGCTAAGGGTACCACTGCAGTTTCATCAGTGGCTGGGAGCCTCCCACCAATCTCCAGTGACTCATGCAGACCTAGCCCTGGAACCCTGAGTATGGGACTTCAGGATGGGGTGTCCCTCTTATAACTTTCTGGACTTATATCAAAGATAGTGGTCACTAAGGAGACTCGTAACCCATGATGTCAAAGCTCACAAGTTCTTATACAGGGACTGCTGACCCAGGGATTACAGGGAAGAATGCACTAGATAATGTGTCTGTAACCAAGAGCTCTCATAGCCCCTCCTCTGGTCCTTCAAGTGTTTCTGCCTGGGGAGCTGGCTGCTATGCTCAGTCCAAGCCTGTGCCCACAGCAGGCCAATAGGCAAACAGATGGATCAATCAATTGACAAAAGGGCAAAGGAGAAGAGGGTGGTATGCCAGGCCAGGTAGGTGGTTTTGCTGCACAGCACAAATACTGCTGTTGGAACTCAATGGTATGACTGGACCATCACAGTATGCGAGAATACCAGGCATCCTCAGCAGGGCTCCTCTGAGTCAGCATGGGGAGACCTACATTCTGACACTTAGCTCAAGTAGTGTAAGGGGTACCTGGCACCCTGTTCCTGAGGCCCCTACACCCTGGGAGACCCACATCCCCATAGAGCCCCAAAGGGAAGTTGCACCCATCTGGCTTCTGCTTACCCCACTGAATACATGCACTGAGAGGTGGAAGGAAGTCCCACTTCTTGAAGGTCACCAGAAGTTTGGAGAGTCACTTACTTCTTTGAATCTGCCCTTATGGTAGAGGTGGTGGATATGAGCCAGGAGGGAGCTGGTGTCTGTGTCCTGTAGCTGGAAGATACTGACCAGGGGCTCTACCAGACTGGAGGGGCTTTCAGTGAGGACTTCAATGGCAATGGTCTGCAACTGGGTCAGCATCGGGCTGTGCTAGAATACCAGAGACCCAGCCTTCAGTGAGGTGCTGCCCTGTGGCCAGGTGGTTGTGGTGCTTCGCTTGTACAGAGGCTTAGAGTTAGGCCTAGCCTGGACTGAAAGCTCAGCACTAAGTGGAAGGTGGCAGGAAGGTGAGCAGGCTAGGTCTAGTCTCTGCACATGGCTTCCAGGAGGCTGAAGGTCAAGCTCACAGGTAGAGCCTTGGCCGGGGCCTGTCAGCCGTATCTACCCTGGGCAAGTTCAGTGGGCTACAGAAGTCTGGTCAGCTAGGGCAAGAAGTCCAGCATGCTGGGTATGGGGCAAAGGGTCACCATTCACTGGCTCACCTGGACTGACTGTGGATGGGGCTGTGTTTGCAGCCAACACTGTAGCTCACGGGCCACCCAGGCCTCTAGAGAGGGGCCTTTTCCCTTCCAGGCCCGGCTGCCCTCCAGCATGTCCAGCAGGCTGCCCAGAGGGTCATCCAGTTCAGCAAACCCCCGCCAGGCTTCCTCCCAGAGCTGCAGAGACAAAACCTCATTGTCACTTTGTCTCCTCCTCAGAGGCCCCTTGTAGCCTCGCCTCCAGCACAGAGGTTTTAAAAATTAACCTGTTCAGAAGGTGACTGTCTCTACTCTCCATCCACGCCTCCCTGTGACTTTTCATGCCACTGAGAGTCCTTTCTGGTCTGCTGCACCCCAAGGCCACTGTCCCTGGTCATTGTCTGCACTAATTATCCCATAAAGACAGAAGCTTGTTCTGGGCCAAAGGACTACGCTTGCCTGAGGGGTAGTAATGGCCACAGTCACAGATTCACAAATGACTGCGTGTCAGCCATACCTGGACCTGCAATGACCCAGTCCAACAAAGCAGGAGAGCACCTAACCTGAGCTGACCTGAGCTGCCTGCACTGACCTGTCTACCCAACCACATGTTTGAGAATCAGGAGCTGAAACAAGAGTGACAAGGTGTCCCCGGGGCCCCTGACGTCCATGGCTTCCATTTATTGTATTTAAGAACCAACAAATGTTTATAGCAGCAGCGTGGTCTTATACAGCAGGGTTTGTGCTGCCAGCTTGTGCTGTACAGTCAGCCCAGGCTGTGCCTTATCAGTGTAGCTGCTGACTGCAAGATTACTCTGAGCATTGGCAGCTTCTGGTGGCTCATTCTTCAGTTAGAATTGTAAGATTTGCAATGTAAACAAGTTCACAGAGATGGCACTGTTCTACACCTTACCAGAAGCCTAAGGCCATGGTGTGTGAGAACAAGAACGAGTTCCCTGAGACCGTGGGAACTTGCCAGACAGGTCTAGAGAGGATGTCAATGCTTCCAAGACAGGAGCAGCAGCCAATTTCTCCTCTGAGAGGTCTGGGGCCACTAGCAGGGGCCTGTACACTACAGCTGAGCAGTGCCAGGGAGGGTTTGACTCTGCTCTCCAGGAAGTGGGAAGAAAGACGGTAAAGCTGAGGGGTAGCTGCCATTTTCTTGCTCATGAGAAGGAAAACTCCACAAAGACACTGTTCTGGCATGTCCAGCCCTTGCTACTATTCATGTTCAAACCTGTCCACACTCCAAAAATATCAATGCTGAATGTCCAAAGGGCAAAGTGCCTCTATGCTGAGGCACTGGGAATAAATTTGATCAAATTTTCCTCATGTCCCAGCTTTAGGAGGACAGTCCCAGAAAATATATGTTTTGTCCTTGTGTGGTTTCACCCAATGTGGAGGTGAGCTGTCCCCCCAGCTGGGACTCAGGCTTTCCGCTTATACCCCAAAGAAGGCTCAGAACAGCTGGAGGCAGGGGCAGCAAGACAATACTGACAAGAAGACAATGGTAGCCAGTACTACCTGGGGCCCTAGGCCACAGAGAGCAAGTGGTCTCATATTCCATCCCAGGCCAAGCCATGGCCCCTATGATGAGGAGCTCTTGGCCTATGGGCAAGTCACTCAGAACACAAGGGAGGAGAACTGGTAGAAGGGAGGCTGTTCTAATACCCTGGAGCAGAAATAGCTTAGCATGGCTCCTAAAACCACTGTGGAAGGGCTATGCCCCCAACCCCCAGCTCAGAAGTCTCCTTACTTTGTTCTAGTGAGACACCCATAGCCCCCCCCTCCCCCAGTGACTCCTCAGGGCCCCACTGGTAGCCAAGTCTGGCCCACAGGTTTGCTGGCCCACAGAAAGGCACCTTGAATGAAACCTGGGCCTGGTGTCACTGCCTGGATTTCCAGGTTTGTTATCTATGGCCTCTCTCACCTCTCAGGACTTGGCCAGGTCTGGAAATCTTGTCTGGGAAAGCATTTCTTCATCTGGATTCCCAGTGTCACCTGCCTCTGCCTGAGCACACCATCCCTAGGCAAAGCCTAATCTGTACAGCAGCAAGGCCAGGCAGCTCAGGGGCCAGAGGACTCTCCACACATATGAGGCAGTCTGTACTCAGCATAGGGGTCACACACCACTCTGGGGAAGGTAGCTCCCAGTGCCCAAGGAAGGAAAAACACTTTCACAGGCATCCACAAGGCTTTAACATAACTTTTAAATCACTATGATCTTGACAACAAAGTGGACTTTAGGGAGCATCTGGCAATGCTCCCACATTGATACCTGCAATGGCTGCTGAATACCAAGAAAGAAAATCTGTCAAGATCAGGTGAGTGTGAAAAAGACCCTAAGGCTGTCTGGAGGGGCTGACCCACAGGGGTAGTACACAAAGATGAACAGATGGATCCTCCAAAGGATGTCCTCAGAGAAAGGGCTGGTCAGAGCAGGAGGGCAGTTTGTCTGTCCACCTGGACTCTAGGAATCAAAGGAAGCCATACTGAGCTCAGGTCCTGTCATATGAACATGGAATGCTGTTTGTACACGGGGTCCTGGAAGTCATCTGTCGTGATGGTTATATGTCTAGGCCTGAAGACTGACAAGCTGTGTGGGTGAGCTCTGGAAACATAGTACCTGGCAAAAGGAAACAGACACCAAAGTTTCTCAGCATGTGGCTGTATCTACATGAAGCATCCAGAACAGGGAAATCCACAGTCAGAGGTATATTGGTGGTTGTGAAATCTGGTGGTGGTGGTATTCTTAATGGAGATGGGCTTTTTGGAGGGCCCATGTATTTTGAAACTAAAAGAGGTGATAGTTGCACAATATTGTGTTAAATGCTATTGAATCACTTTTTTAATTGCTTCATGTTTAAAAATATTTTATATAATAAAATACAGCAAAAGTTTTTCTTCAAAGGTAAAACTGTGTACTTTTTTTTTCTGAGACAAGATCTCATATATTCATATATTCCAGGTTGATCTCAAAGTCACTATGTGGCTGAGGATGACCTTGAACTTCTGATACTCCTACCTCCACCTGCTGAGTGCTGGGCCACTAGGCTGAGGATCAATTCATAAATGCTAGGCAAATGGTTCTACCAATGGAGCTACATCCCCAGCCTTCAAAATATATACTGTTATGCTCCTGGCTCTCAGGATGATTTAATCAGTCTTCAACTCAACAGCTCACTACAGTGGAGGCTGACTTGACCCTTGGCTCTCCAGTTTTAGTCATTTGCGAAAGCTAAATCAAACTACAAAGGTACATAAAGCAAACAAGTGAGTGGAGGCCAAGCTCAGGCATGGATTCGTCTACATGTGACTTCAGCTGCCCTTGATTGCACTTCCTGTTGGGTCAACACACCCATGTTAGGACCTGGAACCATAATGAACCAATCAAATTATATTCTAAGTGGTGACAGGTAGGTTGAGAAGATGAACTCAATGAACAAGCATTGGTGCAGACAATGGCCAATCAGCTCTGCAATTACACTCCTGTTTACTGTGGAGCCATGTGATCTGCATTAATGCAATCATGTTATAAATTAGACAGTGAATTCTGAAGTAGACTGGGGAGAGAGAAGAGGAACAGCACTGCCTTTACCCTTCGCCTGGCAACCCTGCTTAGGCACATCACCCCACAAATCAGCCAGCGTAGGTGCAGCCTCATCACCCACAGCAACCGAATCATCCCTTCATACTATGTGCATTTCACTCCAGTTAAAATATAATTAAAATCATCAACAGCGTAATCTTGTTTATTAGCACATATACCCTCCACTACCCTTGTCCTCCTTTCCCCGCATGCTAGTCCCCTTCCTCTTCCTAAGTAGACCCCTTCCATTTTCATGACATATATAAATATATACGAATATGTATTTTAAAATCTAGATTCCACATACAAGAGAAAACATAATAGTCTCTTTCTGAGCCTGGCTTATTTGGCCTAACACAACACGCTCCAGTCCCACCCATTTTTCTACAAACGACATAATTTCTTTTTATGGCTTTAATAAAGCTCCACTGCTCATGTGTACTGCATTTTCTTTATCCATTCCTCTGCTGGTGATACCTAGGCTGGTTCTATATCCTGGCTATCGTGGAGATGCTGCAGTAAACATGGATGTGCCAGTGTCTCTGTGCTAAACTGACTTAGAGTTCTTTGGGTATGTATCCAGGGGTAGCGTAGCTGGATCATACGGTAGTTCGACTTTTAGTTTTTGAGGAACCTCTATTAGATCACAGACTGCCCTCCTCAGAAGCTCTGGTCTATGTCCTGCAAGGTAACAGGAATTCTTAACAAATATGCCCCCTTAGCTCTATTGCTCAGCTCACTGGAGCAAAGAATTCTTGTGTTTACCCTGAAACTGTCTCTGAGCTATGACCAGGCTCCCCACCCTCTGGGGAAATAGGCATTTGGACATCCTTTCTGGCTACATCACTCCCTCCTTAAAAAGGAGTTCATAGACAGCAACTCAATTCTTCTCGGGCATCAGTCACACACTGTTCACTGTACACCTGCTGCCGGGTCTGAGTCCAAAAAGGCCTGTTTTCTTTCTTGATTGTTATTCTGACTTGGGTGAGATAGAATCTTTTTTTTTTTTTTTTTTGGTCTTTTTGAGGCAGGGTCTCCCTGTAGCCCCAGCTGTCCTGGAACTCACTATGTAGACCAGGTTGGCCTCAAACTCACAAAGATCCACCTGCCTCTGCCTCCCAAGTGCTGGGATTAAAGGAGTGCGCCACCACACCTGGAGAAATAGAATCTTAATACAGTTTTGATTTGTATTTCCTGGATGGCCATTTTTTTATATTTTATTTATTATTTTATGTGTATGAGTGTATTGCCTGCATGTATGTGAGTGCACCCATGTCGTGCAATGCTGCAGATGTCAGAAGAGGGCTTCGGATTCCCCTGGAACTGGAGTTAAGGACGGTTCGTAGCTGCCATGTGGGTGCTGGGAATCAAACCCAGTTCTCTGCAAGACCAATCAGTGCTCTTAACTGCTGAGCCATCTCTCTAGCTCCTTATTGGCCATTTTAAAAAAGATCTTTATTATTTTTAAATTATGTGTATATGCGTTGGTGTGTGTGATTGTGCATATAAATGCAGGTGTCCACTGAGTTCAGAGGTGTTGTGATTCCCTGGAACTTTGACTTCCAGACAGTTGTGAGCCACCCAACACGGTCCTCTGCAAGTCCTCTGCAAGAGAAGTACCTGTTTTTAACCACTGAGCCTTCTCTCCAGCCCCTTATTGGCCATTTGTAGTCTCTTGAGAATTGTGTGTTCAACTAATTTAGTCATTTATTGATTTAATTTAAATTTCTTTTTTTTGGTCTTTTTGAAGCAGGGTCTCCCTGCAGCCCCAGCTGTCCTGGAACTCACTATGTAGACCAGCCTGGCCTTGAACTCACAGAGATCCTCCTGCCTCTGCCTCCCAAGTGCTGGGATTAAAGGCATGAGCCACCACACCCGGACTTATTATTTTTATTTTATGTGTACGAGTGTATTGTCTGCATGTATGTGATTGCACCCGTGTCATGCAACGCTGTGGAGGTCAGAAGAGGGCTTTGGATTCCCCTGGAACTGGAGTTAAGGACGGTTGTTTGCCACCATGTGGGTGCTGGGAACTAAACCTGGGTCCTCTGCAAGAGCAGCCAGTGCTCTTAAGCACTGACTCATCTCTCCAACCCAAATTTTGCTTAATTTTTTTCAGCTCTTTCTAGATTTTAGGTATTAATCCCCTGCCAGGTATAAAGTTGCGAACGATTTCCTTCTGTCCATTGGACTGCCCTTTGCTCTGTTTTCTGTGCTGTAAAGCAGCTTTTTAATTTCATGTAATCTTATTTGTCAATTCTTGCTATTATTTCCAGGGCAGCTTGGAGTCTTTTGCAAAAAGTCTTTGCTTATGCCTACATCTTGAAGTGTTTTCTTCTATCAGTTTCGGGTTTCACACTAGACCAACCTTGTTTTGAATAAACCTAATATGATGTGCCTTCATCTGTGTTCATCTTTTCTGACTTCATCCTGCCTCCCCCAGCCCCTGGAACCTGTGCAGCTAATCTCTTCCCAGTCCTGCTTTCACAGACCTTCCCAGCCATTTCATTCTGTACCAGCAGCCTCCATGCTGGCCCCAGCCTGGACCTCGCACACTGGAGTTCTGAACAGTTCAGCTCCTGTCCTTGACATGACTGCCTCAGTGTAAAGTTAAAGGTCCCTTGGGACCCTGGCTCGGTGACCTTGACCAACCAACCCCTCCTGTCCTCCCTGCCCACAGGCCATGGGCAGTCACCCTCCTTCACACACTGTTCTTTATTCCATATCTGATGACCAACAGAGACACTGCTGACCCTGGAGCTCCCCATGCGGGTGACTGGCTAGCTACCTTCACGTGACTTAGATCCTGTATATGTTGCCAGGAGGCCCTGAGCCCTGAGGTCAAGTGCCATCAGACACACCCGGGGACTTGTTAAAACTCAGACCTTTCCTGACTCTAGCAGCCAACAGGGAGCAATCAGATGCTCCTAGGAGATGATGCCACACCAGGAATCCTGGTGAACTGCAATTTCTACCATTGCCCATACTCTGAGGAACACCACAGACTAACCAAACACCATATCTTCACATTGTTTTGCCTGGCTCCTACTCAAGCTCCAGCTCCTCTTCTTCCAACTCCCGTCAGAATGCAACTGCCCTAACACTGACCCTAACAATGACCCTGAACACAACCTTAACCCTAACCCTCTACCCACTCCTACTAACATGCAAAATACTGTGACCTCTACTCCAACACCCTCCATCTCAGGGGGAAAGCCATAGGGATTCTGTTCATATGCCAGTTCTACTCTGCTTATATGGCACTGTCTCCCAGGAATTCTTTCCCTCCTCCTTCTCAAGGCTCTGGTCCACCCGAGAACTGACCATCCCACATTACCTGTCGGGAGCTGCTAATCATTGAGCTGTGTCAAGCTTGTTTACTGAGTGTGTATTATGCACACCAGTATCTAATCTGCCTTATCAGGAGGAATATGTTTATATGGAGAGCCTCACAACACCTGACCTTGAGGCAATAGTGGAAGCCTTTGATCTGACCGCTCCCTGACCCTCAGATACAGGTGGGGAAAAACAGCAGTTGTAACAAATTGAGTTCTTCTGTATAAAAAGGCAGAACTGAAATAAATCGGAGCTGCAGTATTCACTGTGAGCCCTCCCAAGCAGCATCTTTTCTGTCTCCTTTCCTTTCTTTCAATCCTCACTCCCCCTTTCAGGTACTGTCCGTCTTGGCCGGCTGGCACCGGCAATTACCCCAGCCCCATGTGTACTTCACACTCCACACCTTGCAGGTCCTAATGCTCGGTCTGTTCCAAGCAGCATCCTGTGTGACACTGTGCCTGTCTCACATGGTCTGGCACCTGTGGGACAGCCTTGCTTTCTGACAGCAGCCCCCCACCCCGCCCTCCACTGTTCTCCTTTCTCCTTCTACCACCACCTTCAGTTGGTCACACATCTTGCTCTACGATTGGTCAGGCTGATTCATCACCAACTTTTGGTCATTGAAGAGGTGCCCCCCCATCCCTGCTTTGGACCCTGGGCAGCATGCTGCTCTTTTTTTCTTGTATGCACCAAGACACTCTCTGGTACATAAAGCATGAACAGGAAGTCTGTACCAATTATCGTGGAGCTAAGCCTTCCTAGCACTTGGATAACTGATCACAGAGCAAGTCCTCCTTTAACAAAGTGAAGATACCTTCATAGTGCACAGGAAACACAGATAACTGACAGAAAGGCACAAGACACAGCCCTGTTTAGGACAAAGAGTCAAGACACTGTAACAAAACTTGGAAAATAAAGGAACAAAAACCTGCATGTAAAGTCTGCACTTTAGGGTGTGTGGCCATCTGGTTAGGACTGTCACCCCACTGATCAGGCTGATTTACTAACCTGAGACAGGAGGACACAGAATCAACAGTGAGCGAAGGTGGCAGAGAGATCCCCTAGCACAGAACCCACTGTAGATCGCGAAATTTGTGAAGGGGAGCAGCATGAACAAGCAGATACAGGTAAAATGTGGACTTCCTGAGAACACCATGAAGAACCTCCTCATGAAGTATGCCAGCCCAGGAAGAAGGGAAGACAAAATGCATGCCTGCTCCACTAACAGCCTCAAAAGCTCAGGGCTGCCTCTTCTAACACTGCCCCTTCCCAGCCCCACCTTGCAAATCCCTTTGCTGAAGACTTCCTGCCTTGAATGCCTGCCTCAGTGTCTTCTAGTAGAAATGAGAGGGTGGGTCTTAACACCTGAAGCCTCTTGTGGGCCCCGGCCCAGCCAGCTCTAGTAGCTATTGTGTCCTCCCCCAGGGCAGTGGCTGTCTGGCTAGTTTCCACCTTCACAGCCAACTCTGTTGGGAAGGACTAGTCCTGTAGCAGTGATGGGACAAGTGAGTAGGGCCGTTTTGCTGACACACATACCCACTTACCTGCTGTAGGTCCCATGTGGACCACAGCTCCCGTAGGGCCTGTAGGAACAGCAAGGGATCTTGGCCTATGGAGAAAAGATAAGAGCCATGATGGAGAGGAGCAGAGACCATGGTAGAGCCACTGGGGAAGTGCTTCCCCTACCACCAGCTCTGGGCCCTGGTGGGAACCTCCTGCAGAACACACAAAGCACATCTGATGATGCAATGATGTCTGTGGTGTCCACAGCCTCTATAAGAACATGACCTCTGTGCCTGCTCTGGCCAGATCTATAGACTGATAGTCTCAGGACTCACAGCTGGCTACCCAGCAAGGTTAGGTCTCCTATACTGACCCAGTCCTTAACAGGCTTCTGAGTAGGGCCCACCGTCTAGGCACAGCACTGTGGCAGAGCACTCCCTACTAACCTTACACCCCCTACCCCTCCAAACTCCATACAGGCACCAGCAAAGACAAAATGCTTGAGTTTTGTGTCAGAAAGCCAAGCCAATTTAATGATGCAAAGCCCTAAAAAAAAAAAAAAAAATCCACTTATGTCTATAATTTAGTAAATAACTTGGTAAACCAGGAACAGGGTGAAGGTCTTGAACAGGGCAACAGGAGCCTATAAAATAAAACACCCACAAATATGGAACTCAATGTTGGTACCCCATTGAATGAAACTGTAACCCCAAGCAGTACAGACAGCAAGAGAAAACCCTAAAGTCATCAAACTTGGAAAGAAAAAAAATGATATCCTGACAACAACAGATTTTTTGTTTTTGTCCTTTTCTGAGACAGCCCCAGGTGTCCTGGAACTCACTAGGTAGGCCAGGTTGGCCTTGAACTCAGAGATTCACCTGTCTCCTCCTCCTAAGTGCTGGGATTAAAAGCGTGGGCCATCACGCCTGGCAACAATTGATTTTATATAGAAAGCCAAAATAATCTATAATTAACTTAGAATTAAGCCAGGCGTGTTTTTTTGTCCTTTTCTGAGACAGCCCCAGGTGTCCTGGAACTCACTAGGTAGGCCAGGTTGGCCTTGAACTCAGAGATTCACCTGTCTCCTCCTCCTAAGTGCTGGGATTAAAAGCGTGGGCCATCACGCCTGGCAACAATTGATTTTATATAGAAAGCCAAAATAATCTATAATTAACTTAGAATTAAGCCAGGCGTGTTTAATCCCAGCACTTGGGAGACAGGCAGGCAGATCTCTGTGAGTTCAAGGGTGAGAGCAAGGCCAGCCTGATCTACATCGTGAGTTCTAGACCAGCTGGGGCTGCAGC